GGTGCATCTGCGCACACAAACGCAGCCCGTCACGTGGGGGAAGCCACGGAATCGAATCCAGCTCCAGACGTGAATCAGATCTTTGCTGATTCAACCACAACCTAAATAGACTCCTTTCCAAGCTAATCTACTCGCTGTCTCCTAGATTATTTACGAATCAAACTTCCTCTGAACCCCATATTCATTGGGGTTCCTCCAGGAAAAAAAAGGGGGAATAATATAAGGGGGGGGAGAAATACACGACAACGGGGAACTTAAAACAACATCTCCAGTCTCTGATTTGAGCAACTGCGTTCTAGTTTGGTCCCTATGATGGCTATTTATTATCTTTTTAATCCACTCAGAAAAGGGAGAAGATGTTCGGGAAGATTTACAAAGCTATTTCAAAGAAGAAGACACCGAAAATTGCACACAGCTTAGAATTTCACACATCAGAGAAAAGAGGGGGGAAAAAGAATGCAAGCGATTAAAACAAAAACCCTGTAAAATATGATGGATTTGTCAGCTTTCGCTCTTAAACGGGCCGTTTCAGTTAATTGAGTGTTTCTCAAACTTGGCAATGTTAAGAGGGATGGACTGCAACTCCCAGAAATCTCCAGCCAGCACAGTCACGAGAGATCACGAGTTCAAATCCTGCATTAGACATGGAAGCCGGCTGGGTGACTTTGGACCAATCTCCAGGAGACGGTGAGTTCTAGTCCCACCATAGGCATGAAACCTGGCTGGGTGACCTTGGGCCAATCACTAGGAGACGGTGAGTTCTAGTCCCGCCTTAGGCGTGAAAGCCGACTGGGTGACCTTGGGCCAATCACCAGGAGACGGTGAGTTCTAGTCCCGCCTTAGGCGTGAAAGCCGACTGGGTGACCTTGGGCCAATCACCAGGAGACGGTGAGTTCTAGTCCCGCCTTAGGCGTGAAAGCCGACTGGGTGACCTTGGGCCAATCACCAGGAGACGGTGAGTTCTAGTCCCGCCTTAGGCGTGAAAGCTGACTGGGTGACTTTGGGCCAATCACCAGGAGACGGTGAGTTCTAGTCCCGCCTTAAGCGTGAAAGCCAGCTGGGTGACTTTGGGCCAATCACTGGGAGACGGTGAGTTCTAGTCCCGCCTTAGGTGTGAAAGCCGACTGGGTGACCTTGGGGCTAGTTGCTCTTTCTCAGCTCCGCCCACCTCACAGGTGTGGAGAAAATAAGAGAAGGAAGGAATATTCGACGCATTGTCTCCTTGAGTCATTTGTAAAAACAATGCAGGCGATATACAAATAAATAAAAGGTTTAAGGTGTGTTTAAGGAGACTTCGACTCCTATAATCCCCCAGCCAGCGCTGAAGCCGACCCATCTCAGAGTTGCCAAGTTTGAAAAAACTCTGGCTACATCGAGAGCAGCCCATGTGAACTCAGAGCAAAATAAATAAATACATAAATAAATCTTCCTTGTCCTTTTAGGGGGAGGCAGATGATCAGCTGTGCCCCCCCTTAAGCGAACATAACAATTGTGCTCTCCTCCTCATCCTCTCCCAACGCCAACCAAGCGGCACCAAATTCCCACCAGGTCCCAGATGCCAGCCTGGCGGATAAAAAAGGCGACGCCCCTTGTTCCATTCGGTTTCTTTTGTTCATGTTTCCAAACGGAGCGTTTCAAATTTCAAATTTGGGAGCCCACTTACAGAACCAGAGCTGGAAGGGACCCTGGAGATCTTCTAGTCCAACCCTCTGCTCCAGCAGGAGACCCTTACAGAATCATGGAATAACTGAGTTGGGAGGGACCCTGGAGGTCTTCTAGTCCAGCCCCCTGTTCCAGCAGGAGACCCTTACAGAATCATAGAATAACTGAGTTGGGAGGGACCCTGGAGGTCTTCTAGTCCAACCCCCTGCTCCGGCAGGAGATCCTTACAGAATCAGAGAATAACTGAATTGGGAGGGACCCTGGAGGTCTTCTAGTCCAACCCCCTGCTCCAGCAGGAGACCCTTACAGAATCAGAGAATAACTGAATTGGGAGGGACCCTGGAGGTCTTCTAGTCCAGCCCCCTGCTCCGGCAGGAGACCCATACAAAATCATGGCCTAGTCCTTTCTCCCACATGTTTTGACTTGCCCACCGCATGCCTGCTTTCTTCTTTTTAAATTTATTGATTTATACCAGGGGTAGGCAACCTTGGCTCTTTTATGACTCGTGGACTTCAACTCCCAGAATTCCTGAGCCAGTATGACTGGCTCAGGAATTCTGGGAGTTGAAGTCCACGAGTCATAAAAGAGCCAAGGTTGCCTACCCCTGATTTATACCGACTGATTGATTCCGTTTCTGGAGCTAACCCTGCCTCGCTGCCCTTTTCACGGATTTGAAGTCAGGTCTCTTAACGCAAAAGGGGCTGCCAGACAGGAGTTTTAAAACTTTTGGGAATAACTTCACCGAGACTCCCAACGGTGCTTTTTTTTCCCCAAAAGGCAACTAGACTCTGTTGGGGTTCAGTTCAATACACAGATGTTCAGAAGAACTGAAGAAGCTTCTTGGATGAGAAGCAAAATTTTTTCAAGGGGAAAAAAATCCTAGAAATAGCAGTTACCTTTTTTGGGGGAAAAAAAGTGGACGATGGAGAATCTCCTTAGAGATTCCTAGAGACTCATAAGCACACACAGTGCGTTTCTTTACAACCACGTCCCTGTTTCTCTTGTTGCATGTGGGAAAAGGACCAGAAATAAGAAGGAAGCATCTCTCGGGCTTCTTTTGGGGGGTCCCTGCCCACCGAATGGAAAACCATCTTTTGCAAAACAAGCCAAAGAAGTGTTTTTCCATTCACACAGCGTGCAGAATCATGCATTGGGCTTCACAAACCACGGCTGCGACGCTTCTATCATTTGCGGTGGCCAAACAAACAGATAAGTCCAAATCCAGTGCTAGGCAGATGTTCTGCTCCTCACGACATTCTCCGTTCACGCAATGCGCAGAATCACGCACGAGGCTTCGCAAACCACGATTCCAGGTTTCTAATCCTTTGCAAAAAGCCCAACAAACAAACAGAGAAACAACCTCTAAATTCAGTCATACCCGGATGATCTGGTTCACACGATTTTCTTAATCCCAAACTACACAGCCCTGTTTGTTTGGAACGTGGCTCAAGATCCCAAAACAAACAAACAAACAAACAAACAAACTCACTTGGAATTCCAGCCACAAAGTTTTGTTCAAAATAAAACGGTTGCAAAGGCTTGGCGGACTGAAACACACACACACACACACACAGGAGTTCAGCCACACCTTAAAGAGCTGTTTTGACACATTTTGATATCCTACCTCCGACGCGGATTCCCCCCCTATCCTATCGCACTCAACCCCTTCCCTACCCATCCGATAAACTATTTGGACCGCCTAAAACCACTGTCCCTTCCCATGTTCCAGGAAGCCCCTTTGTCCATATCTTATTTTTCACCATCTTTCTGTTAACACAATTCGTCTCCAATAGTTATTTCGATATTTCCTCTGCTTGCCATTTTAGTTAGCTAGCAACTTCTGTTTTTCACATTTGTACCTGTCAATACTTAGATAAGATATATATATATATTATTATTTCTGATCTTCAGTTGGCTTATGCTTCAACTTTTAGACTCATTACAATTTCTGAATAATACTTTATTCCTTTCATGGTTTTAACTATTTTCCAAAGCCCCCGAAGGCAGAACAAGAAGCAACGGGTGGAAACTAACCAAAGAGAGAAGCAACCTGGAACTAAGGAGAAACTTCCTGACGGTCAGAACAATTAACCAGTGGAACAACCTGCCTCCAGAAGCAGTGAATGCTCCAACACTGGAAGTTTTTAAGAAGAGACTGGACAGCCATTTGTCCGAAATGGTATAGGGTTTCCTGCCTGAGCAGGGGTTGGACTAGATGACCTCCAAGGTCCCTTCCAACTTTATCATTATTATTATTATTATTAACCCAAGCTTAGCAGTACTGTGTTGTGTTGTGACTCCAGGGAATGTATCTTTGGATGAAACAAAACACAACGGTGTGCCTTTGTCAATTCACCACCGTGAATTCAATTTGGCCTTTCCCGTTGCCAGCGGCATCTACTTTTCAAAAGTGCGCGCTCTTACGATTCGGATTTAATCAATGCAACGTGTGAGCTTCGAATCTGATGCTTAACTGTCGCCCTAACTGTCAAATGCTGCATTTCCAGATCTATCAGGGGTTTTGCATTTTGCGATAGCAAAAGTTCCCCATTGCTCAGTCCCTACGTGCCGTTGCATGTCAGCCTGCGAGCCTCCGATACCGGAAAACGATTGCGTGACACGGATGCGTCACTGGAGAAATATTACGAAGAAGATAATTACACAGACTTTTTTTTTTCCCCCCCCAGTTGCGTAAAACCTTTGAAAGAGGCGGATTCACATAGGCAGAAAATTTGCTGGTGGGCAATATGTCTTCGAAACGCTTGTGTTTTTCAGAGTGGTCAACCCACCCGTAGAATTTCAGAAAATTTAAACTATCGGCTGTGCCAAACTAGAAAGGGCTGAGCCCAGCGGAACCCTGGCAGGAGAACTCGCAAACTTAAAACTTTAGGAAACTTTGGAAAGTTAAACTTAACTACGGAAAGACTCGGCCGCACGCATTCAAATGTACAATTTTTCTCTTTTATCTGATTCAGCAGGGATCTAAAGTGTGGATACCAGATTAGAAAGATTCCAGAAAGTTTCAATCTCTCCTCCCTCTGCAAAAGACCCCACAGAGGGTCTTTTGACTCACCCAAAGAGACCCTCACCCAATAGGATTCACCCCACACATTCACCATGAGAAGATCTAGCCATTGCACCGACTTTGAAGATCCATCCAGACCCCTAGTTGGTTCTGCATTCTGTAGAGGTTGTGTGAAGGGAGCCAATTTGGCGAGCTAGGAGTGGATGGCACTGTTGGAGCCCAGAATGTGGGCTCGTTCAGCACCCCTAGGAAATGTGTTGTGTGAAGGCAGCCACACTTCTTCTGCCCACCCATCCCAGGAAAGTTGCTTACCTGGCAACTTGAGAATGGAGTCGTACACCTTGCACTGCATCTGCCCCGTGCTTTGCATGACGCAGGACATCCAGAGGCCCTCGTAGATGGCTTGGGCCGTCACAATGTTGTCCCCCGCGTAGGAGGAGATCTTCCACTGCGGCATGGCCGTGCAGACCACGATGCCAATCCAGCCGATGAAGGCCAGGATGAAGCCCAACATCTGGAGACCCCCGTTGGCCATCCTCCTTCCACGAAGCAGCTGCGAGGCGCAGGACCCAGTTGGAACAAGAGAGACAGAGAGAGAGAGAGAGGCAGTGGCTGGCCGGAGAAGGAGCCTGGAGCAAAGCTGGTGGGCTCTTTCAAAGCAGAGAGACTGCGCTGAGTTAGGAGGCTCTTTTTCGGGGTCCGCTTTTGTCTTTTGTAATCCAGACGTTTCTCCCGAGCGCACCGGCTGGATTCAGAGCAGAGAGTGAAGCTGCCAACATCTGTTCTGCCTTTTAAACCAGGCGCCCCCCAGCGCCCCCTGGTGGTTTCACTGGGCCATTTGACTGAAAGTTCCTCCCCTGCACATCTGGGTCACCTCCTCAACAACCCTCCTTGTTATTGTTATTAGCAAGAAGGGCCTTTTTTGGTTGTTTTTTTTTTAAATTCTTTTTCCGTGTCATTTTTGTTTTTTTTTCCGCTTCCTAATCTCGCCCGAAGCCAACAGGAGCAGATCTCAGGTTGATACTTGTCGAATTTGCAGGACGTTTCAGGCCGCCACCTCCCTTTGACAAGGCAAGCCTGTCCCCTATACCTGGCCACAGGTAGGTCTCTATCTCACCTGCGCAGGTAGAGCGGCAGCTTCGGGCGAGAGTGGATGTAATCGCATGTCGAAATGGGTTCAGGAGGCGCCACCCGAGCCACGTTCGGCTTCAGGAAAAAAAAAACATTATTTATTCCTGTATTTATTAACGAATAATCATTTATCATTAATAATTCATGCATTAATTAATAAATCCATTTGTTTATTAATGATTTGCAGGCAAGTCCCCCAGCTTACGACCACCGGCTGAGCCCAACATTTATGTCGCTAAGCGAGACAGCCGCTCAGTGAGTTTTGCCTCCGTTGTTAAGTGGATCACACGGCTGTTAAGTGAATCTGGCTTCTCCCCCCCCCCTCCCTTTGACTTTACTGGTCAGGTCGCAAAAGGGGATTGCGTCACCCCGGGCGATGCTGGAGCCGTCGTAACTATGAGCCAGTTGCCAAACGTCTGGATTCGGATGATGTGACCGCGATGATCCCACGACCGGATGCTCTGACGGTCCTAAGTGTGAAAAAAGGGTCCAAATTCGCCTTTTTTTTTTTCTTTTTGCTGTGGCCATTTGGAATGGTCACTAAAACGAACTGTTGTAAGTGGAGGATCACCTGGGTTGATTAATTTTTTTTATGCCCCCATCCCCACTACAAGCGGGCAGCTTGCAGGTTGTCAGACAAGGGCAAACCAGTGAAAAGATTAAAATTACACAGATTAAAATATGATTTAAAAGGGCGCTAATTGCTTATTCCCCCAGATCTGCCCCTTGCACAGATCGGAGGCTGCCTGGGGGTTCTGGGTCAGCTGGGAGGGTTGTGTGTCTGAGTGTCTGTGTGGGAAATGGGCCGCCTTTATTTTTATTTACCCGCTAATTTGTTGAACCCCCATCCCTACTACAAGTGGGCGGCTTACGGGTTGTCAGACAAGGACAAACCAGTGAAAAGGTTAAAACGACACAGATTAAAATATTATTTAAACGGGTACTAATTATTTATTCCCTGAGATCTGCCCAGATTGGAGGCTGCCTGGGGGTTCTGGGTCAGCTGGTAGGGTTGTGTGTTTGTGTGTCTGGGTGTCTGGGTGGGAAATGGGCCGCCGTTCTTTATTTTTATTTATCCACCGACTTGTTGAACCTGTCGCACTCATAAGGACCGAGAGCGGCATGCAAGCTCATTGAAAACACTCGGCCGCAAATTAAAAACCAACATCCTAAAAGTCCACCCCCCTGTACATAAGCCTTAACCAGGATACAGCCAACCTGATCTTAATACAGCTAGTTCGCGACTTACCACCACTCGTTTAGCCATTCAGAGTTAAGACTGCAGTGGACAAAAATGGCTTAGGACTGGTCCTCGCACTTACGACTGTTGCAACATCCTCACGAGTCACGTGATCAAGATTTGGGTGCCGGCCTGTATTTACGACGGTTGCAGCATCTCAGTGTGTGTGTGTGTGTGTGTGTGTGTGTGTGACGTGATTACCATTTGTGACCTTCCCAGGCAGCTTCCAACTAGCCAAGCCAATGGGAGATGCCAGATCCACTTAATGACTGCACGATTCACTTAACAGCCAAGGTGCAAAGGTTGCGAAATTAGGTGTGATTCCCCCCTCACTTGGCTGCAAATTAAAAACCAACATCCTAAACCTATGAGCCACGCAGTCCCAGGAGAGATCTAAAGCACAATACAGGAAGGTCCTCGACTTACGACTGTTCGTTTAGCGACCGTTCACGGTTACAGTGGAAAAGGTGGCTGAAGACAAGTTCTCGCACTTACGACCATCACAGCATTTCCCCCAAGGTCACAGGATCAAAATCCAGGCACTTGGCCACCGGCGTGCACAGGTAGTCCTCGACTTACGAGCACAACTGAGCTCTAAATTTCAGTCGTTAAGCGAGACATTTGTTAAGGGAGTTTTGCCCCACGTTACGACCTTTTTTGATGCCGTCGTTAAGTGAATTGCCACAGTTGTGAAGCTAGGAACACGGTCATAAAGCGAATCCGGCTTCCTCCCATTGACTTTGCTTCTTGGAAGGTTGCAAAAGGGGATCACGTGATCCCCCTGGGGACGCTGCGACCGTCATAAATACGAGTCAGTTGCCAAGGGTCTGAATTTTGATCACCTGACTGTGGGGATGCTGCAACGGTCATAAGTGTAAAAAACGGTCATAAGTCACTTTTTTTCAGTGCCGTTGTAACTTTGAACGGTCACTAAATGAGGACTACCTGTATTTATGATGATTGTAGCATCCCAGGGTCATGGGATCACCATTTGTGGCCTTCGCAGTGGGTTTCCGACAAGGGGGGGGGAGAAGCACTTACTGACCACGTGATTCGCTTAACGACCAGAGTGATTTGCTTAACAACCGTGGCCAAAAAAGGTTGTAAAATCAGCCAAGACTCATTAAAGCAACTCTCTTCAACAACTGTCCCTGCTTAGCAACTAAAATTCTGCTCCTAATGATAGTCGTAAGCCGAGGACTTCCTACATGAGCCAAATTCTTCTCTCTTCCTTTCCCTGGCAATATCTTTCCACTTCGTTGACTCCCCTTTTCCTGCTAACATCGCCAAAAATGTTCCTTTTCATGCTTTTCACTTGTGTTAAGTGTCCTTGTGCTGTTTTTTCTGCTATTTCAATCAATCTATCAATCAATCAGAATAGAGCTGGAAGGGAACTTGGAGGTCTTCTAGTCCAACACCTTACTCAATCAGGAGACCCTCTACCATTTCAGACAAGTGACTCTTCAGTCTCTCGCTAGTAAGATTTTTTTTTTTAAAAAAATAAGATTCTCCCTTGAAATTTTTAAGAAAAAATTGGACAACCATTTCTCCAGGATTTTATAAAGACTCCTGCCTTGAATAGCTAAGATGATCCAAGGCCTGGAGATCAAAACATACGAAGAACGGCTGCAGGACTTGGGTCTGGCTAGTCTAAGGAAAAGAAGAAATAGGGGAGACAGGATAGCAGATATTCCAGTATCTGAGGGGCTGCCCCAAAGAAGAGGGGGTCACGTTATTCTCCAAAGCACCAGAGGGAAGGACGAGAAACAATGGCTGGAAACTGACCAAAGAGAGAAGCAACCTGGAATTAAGGAGAAACTTCCTGACACTGAGGACGATTAACCAGTGGAACAGCCTGCCACCAGAAATTGTGGGCGCTCCATCACTGGAGGCTTTTAAGAAGAGGCTAGACAGTCACTTGTTTGAAATGGTATAGGGTCTCCTGCTTGAGCAGGGGGCTGGACTAGAAGACCTCCAAGGCCCCTTCCATCTATCCTATCCTATCCTATCCCATTCCATTCCATTCCATTCCATTTTCTTATTCTGTTCTATTCATTTTCTTATTCTATTCTATTCTTATTTTCTATTCTATTCTATTCTATTCTATTCTATTCTATTCTATTCTATTCTATTCTATTCTATTCTATTCTATTCTATTTCTTCTATTTCTTATTCTATTCTATACTATTCTGTTCTATGTTTTCTATTCTCTTCTCTTCTCTTCTCTTATTCTCTTCTCTTCTCTTCTCAATAAGTCCCATGTTTGAAAATATTCTGTGTCTTCTTTTTCTTGGATCCTCAATGTAAGTCTGTCAATTTCCACACAGTCCAGTATTTTCTTGATTGTCTCTTCCTCCAATGGTGTTTCTTCATTTTTCCAATACAATCCTCGCTGCTTTTAATACGTGTAACGTGAAATATACACTTTGATTATCAGATTTTCCTGGAATTATACCTAATAAAAAAAAGTTCAGGTTTAAAGTCGGCGTGTTTCCCTAACATACGACCTTGAGATGAAGGTCAACACCCCACTTATCCCAAAAGCATCCTGGGGCCCGTCATGATCCTGTGGGAAGCAAGCAAGCAAGCAAGCAAAAAAAAAAAAAGGAAAATGTTGGGGTTGACTCAAATGTGCCGTGAAACCCTTGGAAATCAGCTCTTTGTCATCAAGAATTGCAAAACGAGCGATTGCAAATTTGAGCCAAGTTTCACTCCTTCCTCCGAGCCAAATACGGGATTCCGGGGAAGCCAATTGCAACAAAAAGCAGAGAGGACTACCGAATAGGATTCTGTGCAAGAGGGAAGAT